CATGGCCTCAGACGCAACGGCCACCATACTTCCACTTAGCCTTAGCGTGCTTGTTCTATCTACATTAAATCCAGAAGCCCTTTCCCGTGGTTCTGACTGTCCTTACAGTTTACAGGAAGCAGAAATCCTATGGATTTTCGAGATGCTGAGCCCGATGGGTTTTTACAATTACGGGGGGGGGTTCTAATTACGTTCTTGGAATTGGATTTTGCAAAACCGGGGCGGGGGAGTTTCTAAATATGAGGTTAACATTATTGGGCGCCTGCTTTATCTGCGAGAATTTGGGAGCAAACTTTCACGCGATTGATCTCACAACTCCAAGTAAGTCCAAGACCTTACAGTCCAGGCCCACCCCCCAAACTTCAACACCGTGTGCCCGAGTACTGCCTGAGTACTGTCTGCCGCGAATGTTCTGCTGCAGCTGTCTGCTCTATGAAATAGGCCGAGCAGAAACAACTCACCGCATCACGCTGTGCAAGCACCATGTTCCATTGAATTCAGAGCCTCAGCCCCTGCAAAAAGCATTGTAGCCCGCATCTTGACAAACGTGCAAAAACGGGGACCCTAAGGATCAGGTTCCTCGCTCGCAGGCATGGCGTGCAGTCTGCAAATGCCCTGTGCCTATGCTGATGGCACGTATGGCCTATCTTCTCGACAATTTCAAGGATTTTGGCAGCACGGGGCTTGGCAGGATGGTCACAGGATGGTCACAGTATGCTCAGCAGTCGCATGCTCAGCAGACTGGTTTTGCCTGCAAAGACGTAGGCCGAGCCCGGCGGACATGGCGGCGCTGTGGAACCTGGCTCAACAGCTGACACAGAAGAATGCGGAGCTGCAAGAACAGTAGCTCGGCATGCTCAGTTTTCCCTTACTTGTTCTGGACGTCCTGGCTTCTTGGCTACGCAGTTCCGCGTGTGCGCGGCCGAACTGCTGATTAGTTTCCGAAGCTTGCCTTATCTAGACTCGTGTTGAGAGCTGAGGTATAATGCCTTGCGGGACTATGAGGAAAAAGTACGCGCCCAGCTACGCTGGAAGGTGGGTGATCTCGAGAAGAAGTCGCTTTGCTATTATTTATATTTCCGCACGCCGCCCATGCCGATGACTGCAGTACTTGTAATGCAATGGCGCAGCGGCGGTAAGTCCTGTGATCTTCCTGGGTCCTGGCACAGCCAAGGTGCGCTTCGCTGGAGGCAGAGCTGGAAAAGAGCAAAGATTCGCAGCTTGGTTCACGAACTTGCAGATCCTCCTCCACAAGTGCGTGAGTCGTTTTCTGAAGTCAGCTTTGTCTCAGCGGGCCCTTCGGTACGCTTTGAGGCCGTCTGCTCCCGGTTCCGACTCCGACATGACACAGGCGCGGGACGCAGTGCTGCATCCTGGGCGCTTGGTCATCATAAGGCGCCAAGTTGTTGTTGGTTAGGAGGGCCCCAGCCCGAAGGGAACCGAATCAGGCAGCGAGCCTCTCGACCTTGATGTATTATCCCATCCTCTCTCATCAATGGGCTGCGGTGTCCCCGCCAAGGTCTACAGCCGAGCCCCCAGCATCGCTGCAGCCGGAGTGGAATCCGGATGTGCCTCGCGTGGGGAATCCTGAGGACTCTCCCACCTCCTGTGAGCCTAGGCACCTCAGCGGCATGCCAATGGCAGAAGGAACGGGATGTTGGGCCAAAGGCGGTTCGAGAGCCTCTGTCAGCTTCCTGAGACGCATTGAGGCTCATTGAGGTGCGGGGCAGATCTTCCGCCACAGGAGGAGCTGCCTACACGGTCCTTCCTTCGCCGTAACGCCCTCAGCCTCTGTTGACCTGCGAGCAAGCAGTGGGGGTTTGCCCGTGGGGAGCGTCTAGACTCGAGCACAGGCTAGCAAAGCTTGCATGCAGCGACAACAGCGACAACAGGAACTGCAGAAAGCACTGCTGTGTTGGCTGTGACGGCTGTGATGCGATTCTCAGGTGTGAAGGAAGCCATAGAGCGCAGGGAAAAGGAGAGGGAAGAGGAGGAGAAGGCACAAGCTTCGCGAAGATGCCTCTCGTTTAGGTTTACATGCCGGATGATGAAGTCCGCCATGTCTAGATACCTGGATTTTTCTACCGGCAAAACGAAACCCCCACAGGCTCCAAAGCGCCGTCGCCGGCGACAGGCCTGACTCTTGCATTTTTGAGAACGCATTGCCTCGCCCGGATCCGACCAAGATGGAATGAGAGGGGCCCCGCCTCCCAGAGCCAAAAATGTCAACCTACAGCGTTGCTTTGCACTGTGGGGACGCGCGCTCGGGCACCTCGTTCACGGCCCATCAAATCTGGCCGACCGTGCTGGTTAATTAACCTAGTGCAGTCCCAGTGCCTACATGAAGGCAACCGAACCCCTGAAACATGTTCGTGATCGCGCTATCCTCGGCAACATCTTTGCGGACTTCTCCTACGAGGTCGCTATAGTAGCCTTGTGGCGGAAGGCGCCGCTACTTTTCTGGCTATGGAGCAACCCGGAAAAGGGGCTACGAACTGTGACTATTCACCAGGCTAGCTTCGGGGTCCCTACGCTGAGCCCACTCGGTTGCTACTCCGTACTCAGCTAGAGATGCCCGATTTTGTCTACGAAGATCTGCCTCGCTACGACGAAAAGGGTTCCTACACTGGTCCGCCACCCTCTGCACAAAGTTTTGGCATGATGTTTCGGAGGCGGGCCAAGGGTGCTTTCAAGACCACTGGTTCTGAGCAGCGGCCTGCTAAAATGTGCCAGCGGCTGTCTGCTATGCTGCTTTTGTCGTGCTTGCTCCCCGCTAACGACGCCGCTGAAAAAGGGGTCACCGCTAAGCCCGACGAGCCGCAACAAGAATCTTTCCCGACAAATGAGCCCGAGGGACCCCGTGTCCTGGGCGGGACGGGGCCTCCCCGCTTCTGCCATGAATCCCATGATGGAGTCCACGCAAACTGTCCCCAAGAATTTCCCCACGATGCATACCCCAATGGACAGAGTTGTCCCAAGACCACTGATTCGAAGCTTGTCAAGATCGATCCCCATGGTAACTATCATAGTAAGTCGAAGAGTTCAAAGACCTGTTTCCGGAATCGGCCTCTCGCTGAGGGTCGTGGTGAGGGCCGGCAAGGCCGGCAACTGCTCGGTCTTGTTCCTTCGAACCATCAGCCTTCGGCGAGCCAGCCTGCACAAGACCTGTTTGACATTCAGGGTTTAGGATTTCGGGGTTGGCCCTAAACCTTCAACTCTAAACCCCTTTTATAATTCTTCTCCCTGGTGCCCTCGTCGACACAAGCTGTACCCACGCAACGAAGCTCTGCAGAGATTAATCGAAGTTGGTGCTTCATGTGCAGGTTCGAACCCCCGAAGGGTCCATGTCCATGTACCGACATACTGAAACTGCCATTACAAAGCATGCGCAGCAAAGGACTCTGCCGCCCAGCATCCACTGTTGGCCGTGGCCTAGCGCCTGGGAATCTTGTGCCGAACTTTTCCTACTACAGCTGTTGGATTACTTTGGAGATGGTGGTGGGTCTCCTGTTTTAGGGCCGCCAAGAAGAGCAACTTTGACGACCATCAACCCCACACATGCCCAACCTTGCTGCAGACTTTGTTCCAACCTCGTCGCTGTATACGCCGATTGAACTTTTTGTGATCAATCGGTCATACTTTCAATGGCTTGCAGGGCAACTTGTGCGTGGACAGGCGGATGACTGGTGCCCCTTCATGCTGTACCTGACTTTGCCACTTCTGTGCCTGAGCCGGGCCCTGACGGGCCAGATGTTGGCCTCTGGTGCCATGAAGCTTTGGAACTACCGGTATTTGGTTAAATTATTTGCGGCTCAGTGCTTTGCGGTTGTCGTTGCAACCAGCAGGCGTCACTTTTGGATGCATTCGTCATGGTGTGCAGCCTTGCGTTATTGTGCACGGGCTGAATACCTACTTTGACCAGGATGATGGACTGTAGGCTCATGCAGGTGCAGAAAGAACTGGTCTGTTATTCATCGCGTTGACTTTGAAAGATACATTCCTGTCGAAGCACTTCTGCGGAACACTCGGATGCGACATCCTTGGGCACTTTTTCTGCAATGCTTATATGTACCACTTTTCGGGACCACTTTTCGCCTTTGGGTTGGGTCCTTGGGTAATGTACCAGGGGCCGACCATCCACGCTGTACTTTGCCGTACCGTGGTCTACGCCTACGACACCACTTTTCTGGCACCACGAAGCACGGCTTTGCACCACGAACCACGCAACTTCTGTATAGTTTCTTCGCAACTTTTGTGCTGTAGATGCTCGACAGCTTTATGAAGCAAAACGCCACTTTCTCCGAAGCCCCTGAAGCCAATTTTCGTCGCGAACATTTTTTCTCCTACGTGTTATATACTTTGTGTGAGATTACTTTGTGTGCGATTAAAGCACGGTACTTTATCTCAAAGATGCATGTGAAAATTACACGTCATATCCATACCCCGACTTTGCCACCTATGTGGCTCAAGATCGTGATGCGCTTTGTGCAGTCCCTGGAAGGAGGCGTTCCGTGATTTTCAGGGTTGCCTTGTTTTGAAGCTGGGTGAGCAGTGCACACAGACCGTTTACTGTGCTGTTTGAGTGCGTTGTGTTTTCGCATTGTGTGTGTGTGTGTGTGTGTGTGCGCGTTTGCGTGCTTGTGTGTGTAGGGGACAGGGGGCCAAGCCTCCAGTTGCGAGCCTGGCCCAGCGAGCTAAGCAACTGGAGGGGAAGCCGGGGGCTGTAAGCCCAAAACGCCACACAGTGTCTTGATTCCGCATGGCAACCAGGCGAAACCACGAACCCGGCATGTCGACGAAGATCCTTTAACCGCTTAATGTGGCTGAATATCTTTATACTCCTGCGAGAAGATTTACGATTCAACAAAAACAAGCCAGAGGGAGGATTGCATAAGTAGGTGTGTGTGTGTGTGTGCGTGTTTGTCTTCGCAGCTCATTCTGAGAGTTGCAAGACCAGCAGTTTACCATTCATGTGGTTCAAAGACACATGGTCCTGGCAGGTGGAGTCCGCCAACACGAGGACCAGGAGCTTGGAGATTGAGGTGCAAAAAAAACCTAGTGCCGCGAATCTCAACAGCATCTGTCGGTCATGATTCACCGCACAGGCTTTGCCTCCAGTTGGCCAGGTGCAACGACGTTCTTGTCCTAATTCCCGGAGCCGCTGCAAGAGACAAGTCAGGTGCAGCTGGTCAATGCGAAGGCAGACATGCAGCAGGCACTGCCCGGACAGGTGATTGCGGTTCTAACCTGAGCATTCCGTAGGCGATCCTCACGGCAGCACTCGGGGCTCGAGCCCAGATACAGGGAAAAGACAAAGCCTCAGCCAGACGCGTCCTGTTTCAAGCGTGAAGCACACTGTTTGCTGAGCGAAGTTCAGGTCATCTAGCCGGCCTAGCCATTGTCTTGCCGCAAAGCTGAGGTCGATGCCTCCGACCATATGAGGCGACCGCGATGCTTAAAGCGACATCATTAGAGTCCTCGAGCTCGCAGCATGGCAAGCAGGGCAGAGCTGCTTCATGGGTTGAACGTCTCCTTGGAAAGCGCAATGGCGCAGGCCAGTGCTGAGTTGACAAAGCACGCGGTGCATACTTCCGCCCGCTTCAGGAGCAAAGCACCCTCCAAAGGTCGGAGGCAGACGTGGCCGAGACAGCGAGCAACTGCCCCGCATCACCGCATTGGATTGCATTGCACCAAAGTCTTCATCGCAAGGAGAGGCAGTCAACGGGACCCTCACAAGCATCCTGAAAGCTTCAATGGACAAGGTTCTAGGTCGGATCCTTCCTCGCTCGGTGTCACTTCAAAGCATATGGCACGTATGGTCTGGTCGGAGGTGTTGGTCTTGCTGCCGCATCACTGACCTCGGAGGCTGATGTCTCGCGTGACTCGCGTGAGTGTGTTGCGGTATGTTGCGGTTCCCGCTCATGCGCTCATGGAGGCAGAAAGCCTGCAAGGCAACGCCACGGCCCTCCTGGACCAGGCAGGGACCCGGGGTCCGTGCTTCAAAACGGCCCAGCCATGCCCAGGTTGAGGCGGAGGCCTCGCTGGGTGAGGACGCCGCGCCGGCCTTGGAGTCGCCATGCGCCTCGCGGGCCTCGCGTCTCCTCGCGTCTCCGAGGTGCTGCGTTTGCCCAGCTCCGCCCTGGCCGCTCGCATGCGGAAGCTCGTGAAGCTACGTGAAGCTGAGCTCTCTCATGCTCTCTCTCTCTCTCTCTCTCTCTCGCCGCCTTCTCAGGTGGAGCAGAGGATTCGCCAAGTCGACGGTGAGGTCCAAGAGATGCGCCAGGAGGCAGCAGAACTCGCTCGGTGTGCTAGGCACGCTAGATTTGCAGGGCTGCAGACGCAAAGGGCTAACACATGCTAACACCAAACGTTTGGAAGACCAGATAGCCTTCCTGTGTGTGGAGCATGATGGTGATGATGATGATGATGGTGATGAAGATGATGAAGATGATGAAGATGATGATGGTGATGATGATGATGATGACGATGATGATGATGATGATGATGATGATGTCGATGACGATGACGACGACGATGACGATGACGATGGATGACGATGATGATGATGATGATGATGATGATGATGATGGGATTCCCCCAATCACACCTCCTACAGATGCAGCTGTCAGGAGAAGGGCCAGCGGTCGCACATGTGATCCGGTGATGCCTCCATGGTGATGCCATCTTCTTTCCAGGGTTCATCCAGGTCCTAGCCCGCCTGTCTCTCTAACACGGAGCATCTTCGCATGGAGTGTCTCGGATCCAGCGGGTAGCAATCCAAACAACAGGGAATCAAATCGGAGCACAAACGTGCATGCCACAGAGACTACGAACAAGAAAAGCTTACAAGTGCTTCCGTGCTATAAAGACTTTAGGAGTAGCTTTTCAGGGCTCTGCTCCACATGGTTTCATCGCAACAGCTTTTGATGACAGCGTGTCCACGGTTGATGTTTTCTACAGTCCACGTGCATTTTGTGAAAAGCACCCGGTCTTCAGAGCACACCTCATTCGACACTCACAGACTCAAAAGCTTGGCTGATGGAATAATTGTGATGTTCTTCCGGCTTTTCCTTTGCACGCGGCAAAGAACAATGCAGCGCGGTGTGCCTTGGGACATGTCCCCAGAGTTGGGAAACCTGTGTCTATCAACGAATCTTGGTCCGGTCTAGTCTAGTCCAGTCAAACCTACACCACACCCTTGCGGCACTTACGCAGCTACTGACGGTGTCGAGTCGATGTGCTTGTCGTCAGTCGGACCGGAGACGCTTTTTTTAGTCCCCGAAGAATTCCGCCCGGAAATTTTAGCAGCTGACGTTGCCCTCAATTCCTCAGACATGGTGCCGAAGGCTTGCCTTGCAAGCAGTTGTTGCCTGGTAGTCCAATTCGTTTGGGGCGCATGCTGCCCGTCTAACCTGCAGATTTTTCAGTCCTGAGGCTTGCCTCGCCTGCCGAAGTAACGTGGCAACAAAAGGATACAGTCCAGTGAAGTGAAAGTTGAAAGAGGTGTACAGACCCGCCGAGAACATGGACGCCACAGCAACGGGGTTATTGTGCTCTCTCGGAGGCTGTAACAGACTGAAGTATGAAGCCGAATGGCAGAAGTTGACACTCGGAATTTGCCTGCAGGCTAGTTGTGCTGCTTGCTTGCACATTACACATCCGTTGTCCCTGGTAAGTAACTGCGAGAAGCCTCGCACACCGCGGAAAAATAGATCTGCCTTCCTGTGTCGATTTGGATGATGGTCTAACATGTGGGGGTTGTCCAAATTCGGGTCTCTTTTGGGTTGCCACACAGAGGGTGCCGTATTAAGAGTAGAATAGGGAAAGCGAAGCGGCTTAGTGTGTCATCATCTGTACCCGAGACAGTTCAGCCTCGAGACCTTGATAGTTGCACGGATTTGCAGTACTTGCTTTAGGGGTAGATTGGGGCAGCCAGCTGGCTGTTGGGCGCTAGAACTGTGCGAGAGCTCCTCTCTCTGGAGTCTCATCTTGATCAGTTGCGGCATTCTTGCCGTGGTCTTGTGGACAGGAAGTGGAGACGCACCTGCTCTGGTTGCAAGAGCAAAGCAGGAGCATTCGAATCCAATCTGGCACTGGCTTTGTCGTAAACTTTGGGCGAAAACGCGCCGTGTGTTCATGCCAGGTTGGCGGAACCCAGGGTCAGGAGAGTATGTTAGTGATTGTCAAGCCCGATTATGACATCGACTAGGAGGAACGCACTCCTTTTTTTTGTCATGTTGTCCGGTGTGAACTTCTTGTCTTTGGCGTTTGTGCTCGATGCCGATATGTCTGAGGTCCCGACGTTTCTGCTGCCCGAGCTCGGCCAGCGATTGTTCGAACGGATAAATGTATCCAGATCGATTTGAGATTTGGTCGGCCTACCCCAGCAAACAGATTGCGATGGCTAGTTGCGGCTGGTCAGTGAGTGTTCCAGCGGTATCCAGAAGCAGGGACTGGAGTCTATAGATATGATATGATATATTGTAGGGCCTGGCGGCATGGGCCGGCATGGCCGTCGCCGCTCCGATTGTCGCCCCGAAGATGCAGCCAACAGTTTGGCAAGCCTTGTTGTACTCCCCCCTGCCCGTCAGACCTCCGCGCGCGCGCGCGCCGTACGCGAG